TAAACCGGTTTCTGGGGGGGGGGGGGAACTATTAACCCTTGCAGTGGGGCTACCCCAGCATTGCAAGGGTTAAGTGCTCATTTGTGTCTAGGTTCAAAAATAAATGTTAGTCACCGGATTCTTGGAGCCGGCTGACTTTTAGACTGGTCCCTTGAACCTCTCTCCCCCCTCCACTGTAGTGGTCTAAGGATCCTTGAGTAATCATGTTTATAGAGTGTATAGGACTTGAGGACGCTGAGGTACATACCCTTGCTGCAACGGAGGAGGAGATCAGCTGGAGGGAGCGGTGTCTCAGCCGACCAGATCCGAGGCTCGGGTAAGTATAACTTTTTTAATTTTTGAACCTAGACACAAACGAGCACTTCACCTTTCCAGTGCGGGGGTAGACTCACTGCAAGGGTTAATAATTTTTTTTCTCCCAGAGTTCGTTAACTACTTCTTCCCCCTTTTCCCCATAGCTATTATTTCCTGTTGTTATTTTTTATTGTTCTGTATTTCTAACTATTAGTATTGTCTGTTTTTTATTGTTTGTTTTTTTTTCACATAAAAAAAACGTGCAAAATGGCGGAAACAAAACCCGTTTATTTCATTCGTACCTAACTTTGCAGTGCTTTGAACCCGAATCATAAGTTTAGTGTTCTTTTTAAAAAGGACAAATTATGAAATAAAATGTATTTTTTTTTTTGCCTGTGTTAAAGGAGAACTATTGGGAGGGTCAAAAAGACTCTTCCCAATAGTTAGAGCTGACGTGGGACACTGCAGGTATCGCTCATCGCCTCAATAGCTCAAGAACTGAGCGATCTCAAACTGCTGATCACTCAGCTGACAGTCTTCTTCCTGAAGAGAGTTGTAAATGTCAGCTCCCCCTCCCGTCTCTCTGTTCCTCCAGTACTCATTGGTGGGACAGACGGGAGGTGGCGGGCGTGACTGTGTATACATGAGAGCTGAACTGGATAAAGTGAACCTGTCATTTTCCCCAGATTGTAAAACGATGCCTGGGGAGACCCTGGGTTCTATTCTGAGGTTGTACACGACACGCAATTCTCTCCAAGCCCTTCCTCCTGTCATTCAGCTGTTAAATGCTACAGTCTCTGCGGCCACTAAAGCCACAATATAATGACTGATTGGAGTTAGCAATGGGAAGCCATTCACTCACTCGGGACTTGAAGACACGTTGAAGCCCTGTATACAGTGTAGGTCTAAGATCCACCACTTTACCAATAATGTTCATACACTTTAGTGACGCGGCAGGTTCACTTTAGCATATTTGTTATTAAATGGTGCCAGTCTACCTCGAATTCTTTGTGGTTTGTAGAGGAAGTATAGAAACCAGAAGTCATTAAACAACCTTTGTTTTTTCCTATGGCATTGAGAAGTGTAGGAGGCATGTGTTTTTGTGAGACCCTAGAGCCACAGGTTAAGGACCACTTCTGTATGTGGTGCCTCTAATGATCAAATGTCATTTTCGTCCCATGGACCTATAGCCAAAGCTTTTATTTAAGTAAAAGTGACAAGCAATTGGTAAGACTGATCTGTTGGCTTTCAGGATTGCAAGCAGCAACAATATGAACAAATCAGAAAGCGACCAAGAAGATAACGATGACGTAAACGATAACGATTGGTCGTACGGCTCGGAGAAGAAAGGTGCGTTTAGTCAGTCTGGAGGTAACTAATCTGTGCTGTATTTTTATTTACATACAACATTTCTGTGATTGATTGATTCATAAACTTGGTCTGAACTTTTTTTTTGTTTTTTGTTCCTCCCCTTTTTCCTACCTGCGTGCCTTCACATGTTCATTCTGTAATTTTCCCAAATTACGTTTTCTCTTAATTCTGGCAAAATTGTGATTTTATTTTTTTTTTTTGACATTCTCCCATCTGCATCTTGTCCCGCTGATCACTGTGGCTTTTTCATATACTCCACCTTACCGCCTACTCTCCCCTTGTTCCTGCCCTGTCCTGTCACCACTGCTATATATATCTATGTTCTTTCTCTCATTCTTTCTCTGTATCTGCTGTACAACTTCCCCCATTTCCAGCAAAGAAGAGGAAATCGGAAAAGGTAAGAATTTTCATATTTTATGTGTTTGGAATATAATGTGAAGGCTTTATGGGTGTATAAAGACTAGATTGGGTACGGATGCCCCCTGGAGCTTTCTGGATCTGTACCAGGTTTGTCCAGAACAAAGTAAGCAAGGACAATGCAGATAATAATGGTAGGTTTAGATCTTCTATTGAGTTTGGATATATCCTAGCATGACCCTGGGAGTAGCTTGGGCCTAGGCAGTGAGCTGATGTGTTTTTAATATCTATATAGCCAAAGAGAATGTTGCTTTATTTATTTTCATGTTTTATAGATTGTTGACTATCATTTCATTACTCAGGTTCAAGGCTAACCATTGTGAAAACTCAACACAGAAGAAGGAATCCCATAGACTCACTGCATTAAACTCTAGCCTCCCTGCAGTTTATCTCTTCTCTAGTGCAGTGGTTCTCAACCTGTGTAACCTCAGGACCCACATTTGTCCTTGCATATTTGTTATTAAATCGTGTAAGGCTCTAGGACTAACTTACTACTCCTTGTTAGGCTCTTCTGACAAGGCCTAACCATGAACCCTGCTTGCCAGAAAGCTTCCTAAGATAGCTCCATATCAGACTTTATACCTAATTGGGACATCACTTCTAGGAATCCAGCTCTCCACATCTGTACCTTACTTTTAGTATGTCTGTCTTATTTTATACTGTCTGCGGCCATTTTGGTAGAGGAGCAGAGCTTTACTTGTACATGTCGGATCCACCCCCAGATGACTGGTGATCTAATGACTGGTAGGGGTTTGATGAATAAATTGCATGAGAGGTGTAGAAGGAGCAGATCCACAAAATAAATGACGTACGGTAGTGGTCCTCGGTTACAGCTGACTTTACAGCAGGCACTGAGAAGAGCAATGAGCACCCGCATTAGTTTTATCCACTGATCTTGTTCGGTTGGATGATATTAAGCTGGCCAAACACTGTAAAATTTTGTCGTTCAACCTGCAGGCCAAGCAAAGAAAATATAACGGCTTCCCCCATCAATGCTTATGAACGTTGATGGAGAAATCCTCCATTGTCTTCATTGTATTCTAATAGTGGCCTACACCTGCAGGACTACCTTTTGTACAAACCCTTAGCATGGCTTGGTAGAGACGAGTTTATCAGCACTGTAAATATTGTGCCTTTTTATCTACCGAATACTTTTTACTGCTTGACATGTTGTCCTGTTCTTATTTCCAATAGTAATTACATGTTCATTTGTTTCCTCTTTCAGAATCCAAATTCCCCACGGAGGTCAAAGTCCATAAAACACAAAAATGGTAAGCAAAACGTTTTATATTCAGCTGGTTTAAAGGAGAACTATGAGATGAGTGATTTCCACTCACCTCATAGTTCTAAGCCGACCTGTGACAATGAGACTGTCACAGGTCGGCTCAGTAGATCGGGAGGTGAGGGAACACATACCGGCATTCGCTCACCTCTCGATCCTGTTAGGGCTCTCTGCCGTGACAGGGGGAGGGGCTGGATTCCCCGCTCCGATCCGCTAGCGCTGACTGGCGGAACGGACGGGGGAGGGGGCGGGTACAGCTGGCTCTGCCTCTAGATAGGCAGTCACGCAGCTGGGCGGATCCCGTCATCTACGTCGGGATCCGCTCCAGGTGCGGCGTCTCAGTATACCGCGAGCTGTAGCTCGCGGTATACTGAGCTTAGGGTAACGGGAGGATGCTAGTTTGTGTCCTCCCGTTACCCTAAGGAGAACTTTGGGGAAAAACACTGACCCCATAGTTCTCCTTTAATGGCAGCAATATTGGGAAATGTTCAGAGTGGGCGTTGGGTGTCTTCTGCCGGTTTCACTCTGCTATAAATTCCCTCCTTAAAATATCAGTGGTCCTCAGGCTACTGTAACAATAAAGAATGTGTTCTATAAAGGTGTATGTTTATAGGAAGAGGAGGAAAGATGGTGGATCGGGGAGGACATAGTCCTAGGAAATGTAGGCTAAGCTAAACTGATTTGTGTCATTTGTGGGTTTTATTCACATCCATGTTGGTTTTTTTTTCTAGGCGATCTCTCCGTTAACACTGACCCATTTAAGGTACAGTTCTGATTCTTGTTTGCTATTATCAATGGAAATAATATCCCTGGGAGCCAAAGCAGTAACTGGATGACCAGACATGTTAAAACAAAAAATCCCTCCACTAAGTGTGAAGTGTAACATTGTACCCCCTTGTCTGGGCAATTCCAGCCATTGCTGCAAAAAAGTGTCCAGAGGTGGGGCTCGTCAGCAAGGACCTTGCTGTGTGATCCCCAACCCCAAGTGTAACATTACAGGCGCTGGTCCAGCCAAACCGCATGCATGCCTGCTTAGCAGTTACATTTTTTGACATGTAACTCAGTACTAGTTCTGGAAGTTGTTGGCAGTCAGTAGCCATGAACCATGTAGCATGACTCGGTGACACTGATGGCAAGCAGTAAACCTCTTTAATAGTAAAATGAACCCTTTGGTAGTCACTGACTGCAAAACACAGTCCCCCCCCCCCCCCCAAAGCCATGCCATGGCTTTCCTCCAA